AACATATTATATTTGGAGAACACACGTGCTAGATCATAACCTACCATTAATCACTTGATTACAAAAAATGCACGTTAAAAAACATTGGAAAGTAATGCAGTTCTCTTGAAATCATCAGCCATTAGATTAAACAAGCCATTGCATGGCGTTTTTCTGCACACGCAAAAAAGTATCCAACGCTGCTTTGACGACAACGAAGCAGATGCTGGAAAACACTATTGAAGCTAAACCTATCAATACGTTTCATTTGTATCTTGAATATCAACAACGACTTCAATATTACAGCTAGTGAAGCCTGTAACCTAGAATAACTATAATCCCGTTCAAACTGCCCTTAGATGTATGACATACATTTCACATCGAAACTTTTGACATAATACTCCTTGAAAGTTTCATATATGTTCACGAACACCTGCGTAAATACAGAAAATTGGTACTATACGAAGCTATTAAGTAAAGATGAATTGAACAAAAGAACTTACTGTCCTTCAATTTTGTTCGCGTCTTCTTTGTCGATATTGCCTTCGTCTGCGATGGTGTTTACTTCAGCAGTGTTGTAGAACTCATCGCCCGGAAACCCCCAATTGTAGGCACCACCACCTTCGCGCTTGTCCGTCGGTTTCACACCACTGCGATCGCTGCCACTCTGACGGTCGAACTGACGTCCTTTGTATGGTATGCCGCGACCACGACCTCCGCGACTTCGACCACCACGATTTCCTCGACTTGTGAAGTCCCCACGCAAGCTTCTGGAAGATAAGTTCATGCCCCCACCCTCTTGGACATCGGGACTATCTTCACTGTTGATGCCAAACGTATTATAAGTTGGGATGAATGACTTGTCTTCACTGTCATTTTCCGAGTAGGAGTTCATTCCCCCTCCACCAGCCCAAAACTGATCACCCGAACTGGCGAAACGATCTCCTACACCGCGGCCACGACCAAAACTAGAAATAAAACATATAAACCAACTTTCGATAAACGATATGCAAAAAATTGACTTAATAATTTTGAGTTAATAATTTTCAGAAATTTACAACTAATAAACCAACATTTGCAACCAATACACCAACCAAATAAAAAAATTGCGGCAGAAAAGTGACAGAATCAAAAAGCATTAAAAAATAGTCAGGGCAAAGAAACGAATGCCAAGCAGCTGTAAATCCTTGATCAAAATAGACTTTCAACAGTATGAAACTTAACTTGTTGTTCATTCATACTTTGTGTTAAATCATTACTGGATAAAAATGCAATTAATTTTTGTTACATTTTACTCTGTTTACGAATTAAATACTTTGCCGAAAGGTGCCTAATATTTTCGAAAATGCAACGAGAGAAGATATGATTTTTAAAATGAAAATGAAAAGACATGAAAATGTCTGAGTTTACGAATTTAGAAAGTAATGGATTAAGCTGCAAAAGACTAATCCACAAAAAGCAGGAAAGAATGGTATTAAATGAATCACATGCTCATGTAAACGGGCGCACTTTGGCATATGCGTCGGAGCCTTAATTTTGTGCTTGAAACATTTCATTGTATTATCATTCAATATGTGACTGCGACTCTAAACAACGAATAACTCCTCTAAGACCAGATTTCACGGCCCCTTGCTCCAAGTTGCACAGGAGGGGTTGGAACATTTAACTAGGCCAAGGGTCCATAGTATTCGAGCATCTGGGGGGGGGGCAGATGCATCTCGCATCATTTTGTCTGCTAGAGCCACATCACGTTAATTTTATAAAGCCTGCTGTTCAGCATAATCGAATCATCAGCCAGAATCATTCATATAGCAAAATCTACCAAAGATTCGATACCAAAAATCAGAACGATCTGTACCCATCGCAAATTGAATTTGTTTTAGCTCACTGATTCATGAACTTTCTCGTCACAATAAAATAATAAATATTCAACATCTGCACAAAACAACCATTTAGTGAATGCTAGACAAGAAGTCACGATCGAGAACGAGATTCGAAGAAAGAACGAATTCCCCTCACTTACTATTATAGCTGAAAATAAGTGTTAAAAATAACTGAAAACAGTCATTTTCCAATCCGAAAATTGTATATTCTGACGATGAACTAAAGAATAAACCGTTCGACATTGCTCATTTTTTTGTTCGTAAAGAATGATGCATGATCCATCGAGTGACACCTAAAATGCACATGCTCAGTACAATCGAACGAAACTTAAGCTTGGAAAAAATAGGTCGTCTGCCGCAATAGCACGAAGGACGAAAAAACCCTAACAAAAAGTCCAAGTAGCAGATGTTGTTTTAGAGAAGTTCTAGAAAGCGAAGCTCCAGTTTTAAATTAAAGTTTAAAAAATTAGTTTTTAGAACAAAAACCAAAATATATAGATATTCTTCCGAAATTTTCTGATTTCGTCGGCAAATTGCAGCTGTAAATAGCCAAAGGATTAGTTGCTTTTTCGTGGATTTTATATAATTAATAATTGTTTAAACAGTTTAATTCCGATTCAGAGAATGCGCAACCAGGGTTGAATCAAAAAGCAAAAATGCGCAACGATCTAGAATCTCAAAGCGGCGATCGACTTGCGAGTAGAGTTAAACCTGTAGTTGCACTCTTCCTGTTTGACGAGTCTGCTGATACCGATCACCCCAATTTTGAAGTATCGAAGGAATGCTGTTCGAAGTCGCGTGACTTTTACGTTGCAAATCCACCTTCTTTCAACTTTGCCCTAATCCCAAAAACATTCAAAATGCATCAACAACGGTCACAACGACAGCACTGAAGCAGACCTCGACATCCAAAAAAGTGCGCATAATTACACTAGGTTTGATCGTACCCACCGTAAGGCAGATTCGTTTTGGGTCTTATTTTGCATTCAACAATGGATGCGAACTCCCTGAATCCTAACTAAAATATTTAAACTTTAACGTCAAAAGTTTATTTTAATTAATATTAGCAAGCATAAAAAATTCATAACCGGATCCAGATTTGAATGAAAATTCCCTTGGAAGAACACCTACTACTCTGCTCTGAACAGCATAACAGGTACTTTAAAAACGCAGTTATGAAAAACATCTATATTTAGCAAAAAAACTGTTTCGACTGGTTGAGGTCGGTAATCTTACATTAATACGATCAAGATAAAACTTCTTGATAACAATCGATGAAACTTCTTATCTGTACAAAATAATGAATGTGTTTTGTCTTTGAAGCTTCTAGCAATATAATCAGCGAAATGCATCCATTCTCACATTCACCCAAGCTTCAGTTTGGGCTTTTTAAATCGCACATGTTCAAAATTAGTGGAATATCAAGTCCATTCATACTTCATTTCCATAAACTGAATTTCGTCTTAAATTACCATATTCATAACTCTTTAGAAAATTATTTTACCCACTGAGGATTGAGACTAGAAGAAAGTACAATGCCCATCGTTTGTCAATCAGTTCCAATGGAATAACTTGTATCTTGTCGATATGTACTGCACGGTTCTGTTAGTATTCAAGCGCATCAACACAATGCAGATAAAAATGCGATCTTGCAGCAACCGGAATGAATGAGTTCCCGTTGTGTGTTACGATTGAAACCAGATTTATCTATGGATGAGTAGTTCAACTCGTAAAGAAACAGATTTGATAACAAAGGATATGAGTCCAACGATCGATTTTTGGTAGAATCGCTAAAAAAGTATTTCTTTCGAAGACGACACTAAAAAGGAAGAACCGGCTGGCATCAGAACTGAAATCAACGTCGCCAAATAAATGCCCTCTTTGACAAGTATCAGACCAGTCAAAAAATATGAAGATGGGCATTAGAAGCCTTAATTCTGTTTCCTTAATACGTGAAAAGTTCTTCAAGCAAGGAGGAATGAATTAATTTATACACTGTTTATAGAAAAACAATTCCGACGTATCTTACTAATAGGTATGTAATATACCAGAGGTTACATAATGCAAACGTACAGCCCTTGCTTCTAGAAACTTAGATTCCATTTAAGCAGGCCAGACCTTCATGAAGCTACAATACATGAAAAGCTTCGAAACAACACTGAACCAATGCGCTACCGAACGATCTGTTGGAAGCAGTCACCGAAATTATTTCACCCCCGACTTGGCATTATCGACTTCTTTTAATGCACTGTCATATGAAGCATCCTCCTAAAAACTGACACAAATCTCTGTTCACTGCAACAATTACTCTTTTTGACATGACCAACGCTTAGGTCCTGCCATGGTTTGTTCGCCTTAATTCATTGAAATAATATGGCTTTTCATTTATTTTCTAACTTTAACCAGATTAGCTGCATACATTTTCCCAGATTTCGTTACGTAGTGTGCAGTTACTGAACAGTATATATGCCTAAGCCCCACGTTTCGCATCCGTATACCAATACTGGAGACATACGCCAATATCTCGAAAACCTTTCGTTTCATGCGTAACGGCATTCTACAGACAGCAGCAGTCATTTCCACAGGTGCTCCAGTCTATTTTAAATTGCACAGTTGCGTGTTTGTTACAAAATAATTTTTCTAAGAGAGCCATAGCTCAGGACCTCTCAAAACGCAACCTTTTCATCAAAAATTATATATATTCGGATTCGAATTTTTTTACTGTCATGAGTGAAAACAAGCTTTTAAAAGAAAAGCCACACAGGAGTCAATCAATCAGTTCCGATTACAGCTTATCCTTATCCTTCTGGATCATGAAGACAGGTGGGTAAGATATTGTCGCCAATGTTCCTAATCCTCTGCAAACATCTGAGTATATCTGAGTTGTTGTCGGCCGGTCGGTTGAGCAAGTAAAGTCTGTTTCGCCTTACTTTCTGGAAGGACGTGTCCAAACCATCGCAGCTGTGACTTCTAAATCTGAAGAAGCAACGGCTGTACAAGGCTTTCGTGGATTTCTGTACTCCGGACTACGTGAGACGCGATTCATCGCAGAAAGCACATTTAAGCCACTTGTACCCGAGATCGAATTTTTCACTCACAGTCCACGACTCATGACAGTAGGGAAGCATGGGAATAAACATCGACTTGAACATAAAGATTGGTCTACAGACTCAGCTCTGCCTTAGTCACAACAGTTAGGACAAGTTAATGCACCGCTGACCATTCCAATTCGCCAGTCGATCTCTTCCTCCCACCTTAAATTACCAGTAAACACGACCCCGTGAACTTCTCCGTTTATCTGAAGAGCGCAAAGGGCAAAAGGACCCATGCATAAAAAATATTTCAAAAATCAAGGTGAACCGTTGTAAGGAACCCAATTCAAATTGCAAGAAATCTGCAATGAATGATTATATCACTCAGTGAATATGGATGATCGGAAACGCAGGAAACGTGGTGCAAGCATTATGCCTATTCATTCCATACAAAACTTCCGTCATTCTGAATCAATAATATTTGTTCAATAATATGATTGATCAATAACAGAATTTTTTAACTAACCGCCTTTTTACCCATTCTGAATTTCATGGAGTTTCTGTGGAGATGGACAAGTTCGATGCAGTCCAATATATAAGGATATAAAAAAAAATTTATGCAGATTGTTCCTCAAAAAGGAAACAGAATCGGTTTTTCAGTTCTCTTCAAAAGAATCTGATTTACTTTAAACAGCAATGGCTTCCAGCATTCTGAAGGACCTTACGACAGTAATCATCAGCAATGCATCGATCAAAAAAAAGATTATTTCCAGAAATACGCTTATTTCCTATGCGACATTTGCTGATTCCATGCACTGAATTATGCTGAATTTTTGCTTCTCGAAGAAGGACGTTTTGTAGGTTTTACAGCATTAGAAAAGCGGTTCGAATTAGCAGTCATGTAGCTATCTGACGGACAAAGCCATCGTAAATAAAACTAAGAGACAAATGTTGTCTGATTTGAAGGCAGTCGTGTATCGATTATTTTCACTAACTGGGCAAACAGAAGTGCGCAAGATTAAATTATGGCGATTAAACGATCGCTCGCAATCAGATGACAGACAGACGCATTTTTAGCCCACTAATTCTTAGCCCTGTCAGCAGAAAGAAATTTTTAAGATTCATTACACGAACATCCTGCTCTTGCCCTTTCATCTGCTGCAATGAAATTCTTGTGTACAATATCTAGGCAGTTGTACATTAATCGTAACGCATGTAAATTACACGATTTAACGTAGGTACTTAAGGCAGTTATTTCTATCCTCTGCACAAAGGTACGGTACTGCACTAAAAGACAACGCTATTTCAATCGTGAATGATCATGGCATCCGTAAGAACAGCATAAATATCCAAGAACTCAATATTTTTCACAAAATCATGTTTCGTACCTAAATCCTCTTTCACCCCGTCCTCGTCCCCTGCCACGACTGAAGCCTCTGTTCGTATCACCAAAACGCCCAACCATACGATCTTCTATCGGCGGGGAAGTAACATCATCGTTGCGCGGTGTACCGCTGAGGCGTGGAGGCAGGTTTCCGCGCTCCGGCCGGAAACGGTCTCTTGGAGGAGGACGACGATTCTCCAAGCCTTCCTTTTCTGGCGCGCGAAAAGGGCGCCTGACAGTAGTATTTCTGGAAGCATCGCTGGACTTCGAGATTTTGTTTTCTTTATCTAAAACACAGAACTTACATTTTTATTTGAAGAGAGAAGTCACAGATACTTCAATATTAACTAATATCTGGTTTAAGTATTTAAAAGATCATTTCTGCTGTCTTAAGAAGTATCCTTTTTAATAAATCTGCCTAATAACGTGACTACGTTTAGCCTTAAGCGGTATGTCAAATTTTCCGACAAGCTAAATTCACAATTTCTTAAACCCATCGGTATAGTAAATTGATGTTTGGACGAAAACACTACTAGACCTTATGGTTGGGAGCATGAAAAATAGCATTTTATTTATAAGACTTTTGGGGTTTTTTGCCGAACCAGCGAGAAGAAAAATTGTTGGTAGACAAATTTGCATAGCAACTGGTGTATGAAATGACGAAATGTTTCCTTGTCTTACGTTATAAAATCTCTTTAGAACTTTAATGAAGTAGAAGTTGAATGTATTACTAGGAACAGCAGTGAAAAGAAAATCTGAAATGTGTGGTAACTGCGGATTGAGATAAAGAAAACTTTTGGTTCAGACAAATGCATTTTTAAATCTGCACGAAGCAGCTAGTCAGTGAAATATTTTTAGTAACTGAAAGCAGTTTTCTTCACGATATATCAACAAACGAACGCAAACGCAAAATACAACTAATATACAACACTGCAAATTTAGCAAATTTAAAAATTGCATAAATACATAACTTGTCCATACTTCATCGCTACTCATTTTGGCGAAAAAAGTTAGCTTAAAACTTTCAATCATCGGTTAAGTGACTGTTTATAAAAAAAAATATTCACTTTTGTGTTATAAAACAAATATTAATATTCGATAACAAGCTTTTGTTTACGACGTGCAACACGCCAACTAAGCAAAGTAACAGCAAAATAAAAGTAAAAAGTAGCAGCATACCTTCGCGCTTGAATTCCTTCGTTTCAACGGCCTCCGAAGGCGTTTTTCTGGCGGAGGCTGCACTTACTTTTCCACCGACGGCCCCTACTCCAACGGCAGCAGCATTATGGGATGATGACTTCAACGGAGCTCCTTTCCTATCCTTCTTCTTTCCCTTATCGCCGTCTTTGTCCGACAACTTTAGAGTCTTCTCGATTAACTCTAACGGATCTTCATCTTCATCTTGCAAGAAAAGCGAATACTTATTGCTAACGTTCACGCAATACTCCAACTCCATCCTTATTTAACAACAACAATAACACAAACAACTAATACAACGAAATAGTGTCCCAGGCGAACTGGCCATTTCGGCTACGACGGCACACGATACAATTGCGTCGCTTCTATTGCATCAATCTGTCCGTTTACCACGGCTTTACGCGAACATTCGGTATTGGGCGTAGTTATCCTGATTATCGCTCTCTAAATAAAATTCATACTTTCTGAAACAAATACAAGTGAAAGCATGAATACTTTCTCAAACAAGTACAACTGAAAGTATGAATCAGAATGGTCCCTAAAGCAACGATGTTTTCGTGACGAAACATTACTTATCTATCACCCTGTGACATGATGTAAGAAGTGGATATACGGTAATTTTAACACTTATACATACATTGAGAAAAAAGACGACCAAAACCACTCAATAATTTTCTCTCTCCTAGTTAACTGCTTGCTTCTGACCGTTTTTTAAAAATATTTAACAATGATTTGCTTTAAGATCAAAGATAACTACACTCAAACTGCGAGTTTATTTCTCAAATAACGAGCGATGAACCAAGTATGCTGCCGCATTGGTAAGACTAAGTAGGATTCGTGTGCATTTCAGGAAAAGTAAAAACTTGTTTAAAAACAAACGCTGTGACTAATTTATTTGACAACACAACTTAACATTTTTCAATCCTCAAAGCTTTGCGCTGGCATAGGATGCTTGTTTTTTAATCTCAAGCTTTGCTTATTCTAACATTGGCGACTGTTCAAAATAACATTCAGAAAATAATTTTTAGGTTTCATTTTCATCTTCATTTTCCATGACCACTTCTCCTTTCGGGCCGCGCAGGCAGACGTGTCAGGCAGTGTTCCCAACGTTTCTGATCCTGCACTTGTGTCTCAGCATCAGCAGAATGCAGACGGTGTCTGGAAAAGACTCCTTTCAGATATTTTCACCAGGATAATTTTGGCCGTCTCCAGGGCCTTCTGCCGGTCAGCTGAATACGAAATAATTGCCTTGCCTTCTTTCCTGGAGGCATCCACAACACGTGCCCGAACCATCGCAACTGTCACTTCTCAATCTGAAGAAGCAGCGAACGCACAGACGCTTTTAGTAACTGTGTTGTCATTACTTGTCTATCTGCTGCTTCCTCTGCTCATATGACTGAGCCCTTTTGGCCTGCAGGAATGGCCTAGAAGTCGTCATTGGTGTTACTACAGATAGCATCCAGCTGGTGGGTGATGGCCAGTTTCAAGATGAAAAACAATATTTCAGCACTTTTGACTTGATCGCGTTTTTGTGATGCTGCGACAGTTGCACCAATTAGGAATTTCTCTGGCTGTATCCAGCAATTCTAAATCGTTACATGTTAACTACGAGTTATGCTTTCTTACTGCTTGAAGACGAATATGCTTTATATTTAGATAATGGCGTAGACAGAATATTAATCATGCAGAACCAACGAACATGCGACTTTGCAACATTCACCCAAGAAACATCAGTGTCAGTTCCTGAAAACCCCACAATAAATAGCGCCGTCTGCGGAGTGCGGTTTACCTAAATGTGCAGTTTTGCCAACGTGTCTTCTATTCGTTTAGTCTAAAATGGTGCAATTTTCAAATTTTTAAATTTTGGTGATAGAATAGGTTAACGATAGCGGTTCTTGCCT